AATGTATCTCCCATCCTCTGACACATGTGTGTTTTTCTTGGGCATCTTGAACCCCTGCAACTTTCTGTTCATTCCATCCGACCAGCATGACATTGTCAGTGTAGTGACCCAGCGTGATTCTTGGAACAGGGGACTGATTAAGGTCCCCTGTGGATAAGTTGTGACAGAGATGCATAAAATTACACTTCCAGATGAAAATAAACTGCTTATGACGATCTCTGCTTATTGGAATGAACAGACAAGAGTTATTTTGGAAGAACTGCATTTGGAGGGAATGTTGAAGTGAATCTTGAAATGAACCTAGGGGATTTGATACACAGGAATAGTATGAACAAAGACATAAAGGCAAGTAAATGCAGGATATAGAAAGTGATTGGTTGACTAAGTGATACATTCAAAAAATATTTATTGAGCACCTACTAAGTGCCAGTGACTTAACTTTGCTGAGTTTGTAAAAGAGAAAGAGAAAGGTAGGATGTGACTGGGCCTTAAATGACAGAATAAGGAGATGGTACTTAATTAAAAGGCAAGTGTAAACCACCTGAAAGTGTTTAAGATGGAGAGCGATGATGAGAGTTGCTTTTCATGAGGATTGATCTGGCAGAAGAGGCTAATATTCCAGCCAGGAAGAAGCAATGAGGATCTTAGAGCAATGGCAGTGAGAAAGGAAGGGGAAGGATCAGCTGAGGAAAAGATGTGGTTGAGGAATCCGCATCTGTCTGGGTATGGGGGCCAGTGAGGGACATGAGCCAGAAACAACTCAAAGGCTCTGAACTTGAGTGATTGAGATTAACAAAAGAAATAATGACGTCAACAGGAGGTTTGGTATCAGGTAGAAGATAATGATAATAATAATAGTAGCTGATATTATTAGACAGAAGCACCTTGAGGGCAGGACTGTGATTGCTTTGGTTCACACTTTATCCTCGGTGCTTGGCTCACAGAGAACACTCAATAAATATTAGTCACAAAATATATGCTCGATCTCACTGAATTGTCACATCCATCCCAAGAAGGAGGTGTAATTATGCCCCATTTTTTGCTATCAATTTTATTTTTTATTTTGGACTACCTCAGGCATATACAAATAAACAGGAAATAATGTAATAAACATCCATATACATATAGATAGATATCTCTCTCTCTATATATAGATATCTACTCCTCAGCTTGAGAAAAAGAAAGTAATACAGATATTATCATTATCTCCCTTTTACAGGTAAGAAACCTGAGGCTGAGAGGGGTCAAAAACTTGTTCAAGGTCACACAGCTAGCCCATGCTGCAGCTGTGACTTGAATATAGGCCTGTCTGTTATACCTAGTTTGTGACATTAATGGGACATCCATGTGGAGGTACTCAACAGGTGGATGGAAATATCATATGTGAGGTATGGAGAGAATTTAGGATTAGAAATATTGACATGGGAATTGTCTGCATCAAAATGATGGTTGAAGGGACAGCAGTGGGAAGGGAATAAACAGTAAGTGCTCTGAGGATACAGACTTGTGTCTGAGTGATGTGCCTTCTTGGAGGGAGAACAAAATATGCGAGTCTGTTTTAAAACCTTGCCTGTTCATAGAGTAAGAGCTCCTTTTATGCTGGTCCAGAGTGTCCCCTTTTGTTTCTAGAAAAAGGGCAGAGCTGCCTGCAATCCACAGAGTGCTTATTCTCTATGTCTGGCATAGGGCGAGGCCAAAGAAGACATTGGTATTTGGCATCATTGGCTTTATAAAAATCCTGGAGGTGAGGATGTTATTTTTTCTAGGCAGAACCCCAAATGCAGCTCTAACCCTATCCTATTGGGTAGCTAGCCTGCTTCTAGCTGAGGCTCGGCTTGTATAGAGATGGGTGCCCTCCTCCACTCATATCCTCATGGACCGCTGAGGGTTAGCAGTGCTGAATAGGATTTTACTGAGTTTGTAATCATTAGCAATACTACCCTCCTGAGGAAAGAGTTCTTGGCTTCACTCCAAATCAGAAGTTTTAGTTGCCTCAGGAGAAATGTAAGAATTCTAGAAAAAGTCTTGCAAGTGTTTGATAAGCATCCACATCTCCTCACGCCACTGAAGATCACAGCATTTGGGGAAGTTCCCTGTGAATATCAAGTTTGGATATAAAAATTCCTATAGTAATATTATTTGCAACTAGACTATCCGTGTGATAAAAATTTCTTAAGGAGAGGTTCTGCAGAAGAAGTTTGGTAACACACAATAAAGTTGAGGTCTTGGCAGATGACGTGTCATCAGACCTCTTTAATGACATTATCAACCACCTTGAGAAAAGATCAGAGACACAGGAGGTATATTATTTTGACTCTCAGAGTCCCTTCTTTAGAATGTCAGCATAGGCGAGGGTAGGTACAAAACTTAACCTCCAAATCTCAGTGGATCCTGCAACGACCACCGCTACAAAAAGCTGTTCTTTTCACTCAAAAGAATCTGCTGTGACACTTCAGAGTAGCTCCCTTCCAAGTAATGACTCGGAGAAACAGCCTGTTTTTCTCTTCATGTCAATCTAATGCTGAATAGTTTGTGGCCACAGTCACGTTATATACTCAGAGTGAATTTATCATCATTATTTTCTCTATAATTTCAAGATAAGATCTCCAAAGAACAAGACAAGGGAAGAGAAAGCTGGAGGGCCACAGAGGTTTTGCAGAACTTTGGCTTCAAAATGACACAGGTCACTTTCCACAGCCCTGGTCCACGGTCCCACCCAACAGTAATAGAGTGGGGAAGCATAGTCTCCTGTGTGCCCGTGAGGGAAAGGAGAATTAAATATCTACCGTTTTCACAGAGGTAGAAAAGCACTGAAGCATGAGCACTAAAGATAAAATGAGGGCAATATATTGTGTGCTGTCAAGGGAAGAAGTAGTTTGACGAATATGCAGGTAACTAGGTCTTAACCTTATTGTCTGATGTTTTGCTTGATGGTGAAAATAGTTTTGTTGAATTTTCCATCCAGGATTCACAAATGCTAGCTTAAAAAACAAATAGCCATCTTCCAACCCACTGGGCAAAGTGACTCTGTAGTGTAAAAAGTAAATTGATGCAGTATAAATCTGGATGTGGATCCCTCTGCAAATTTTGTAGTGTTAGAAGAATACATTTTTTTCTACCCTTCTTACTTCTTGGTTCTGGTGCCAGATGGAGAGATTTCTGCTCTGTGAACACTCAGAGGTGCAACATTTATCCACATGACCCTTGGTTCATAACAAATGCAACAGTAGCAAACTTTAGGCATTAGGTATATGATCCCGAGTTCACCTATTATTTTCCATATAATTAACATGGAAAATGTAGGAAGCAGGTCAATCTCCTTGAGGCTACTTTTGGCATTTCCACATGCTCTGTTGCCATCTTACTGGTCTACTTTTCACTTCCTTGGTGTTATCCATATCACTGTTATGGAACTTGGTATCCTCCTCCTCTGGGTCTCCCTTCCATTTCCCAGCATCTGCCATGGTACCTTGTGCATGACCGTCAGTAAATTAATATCAGTGATTCTTAACTAAGTGAATGGCTGGTTTCACTTTCTGCCCTACTTAGGATCACGTGTATTCTAGCTTCTGTCACTCCACTGCCCACCAGCTCTTGCTGCTTTGTTCAATCTCTTCTGCCCCACTGGGTGGTGGTTCAGAGAAGCAGTGAAGCATGGGGGCATGAGGCAGTGCAGAGAAAGTGAGAAAGAGCAGAGTGGCTGTCTGGGGTCAACACAGCTTGTGATCTAATAAGCTGGATAGCGATCGGGGCTGGGGGTCAAGTCAAGGAGGATTCCTCAGAGAACTGTTAGATCAAACCCAAATGTTTACTTATAGAGATTTCTTTCCCTACTGTTATTTTATTTCTAGCTTATTCTATGTTAACTTATCCTAATAAGTGGAATGAGGTCAGAGGCTGAATTGGAACCAGAGTGCTCCTGACGCTATTCCTGGTGTTTTTTAGTAACAAGAAATTATACTCTGGGTCAGTTTTGCCATATGCAAACATCAGTTTACTGAACTTGTCCTAATTGCCTCCCAGAGTGGAAGGAGGATGAAATGATAAAAGATATGTGAAGGGGACCTGGAAATTTAAAAAATGCAATACTGTATTAATTAAATAAACATTTATTTGGAAGGTTGCAATGTGCCTACCATGGACTGGACAAAAAGAGAGAAAAAAAAAACCAATGTCTACAGCCAAAGAATTTACAATCCAGGTAAAAGAGAGATGAGTAAGAGCTAGGAAAAAATTGGATAGATATTATTCTAAGAACTACGAACAGTTTTATGAAATAATTAGTTATGGTAAACCTTTACACACAGGTTTGCAAGAAAAAAAGGCGGGGGTGGGTGGCGCGCATTTCTTCCCTTTGGCTTTTCCAAATGGCTTAGTACTAACAGTGGCAACAACTACTCTTAATATCATAAATGGAAGAATGATGCTTTATAATGGATGCTTTGTTATCTATATCTTCCAGTTCAGTTAGTTAGAGCTAAGTGAAGATGTCAAATGAGCATCCAGTACTGCGCAAGGGAAAGTGTCTCTTCCAACGGTAAAGTCACAGGTTGATGTGAGATGCCTGCCTTAACAGCACTTTCTCGGGCGCTAACACTGTTGCTATTTCCACCTTCATCCCAAATGCTCTGCCGCCTGTGGTGAAATATACAGACAGGGCCCAAGAGGCCACACTGGATCTGGAGTGTTCGTGGCAGCCTTTTTCCTGCCCCACCCTGAAGTCCCACCTATCCTGGGACGCTCTGGAAGGAAGCCCATGGTCGGTGTGGAGCAGCGCTTGGTCCCATCTCTCCTCCAAGAGGCCACACCCACCGCAAGGCCCCCATTGTGTCTCGGGGAACAGTAACCCGACAGTCTTACGCTGGCTGCCCTTCTTCAGAGGAAGCGAGCGGCTCTGGCTCCCGCGACCCCAGCCAGGCAGCCAGGCAAGGGGCGGGGCGGCAACAGGCGGTGCAGGTGGCAGTGGCGCAGAGACGCGCGCTCTAGGGCCGCGCGGGCGCCCCGGGCCCCGCACGCCTGCCTTGCGCGGGCGCCGCCGCACCTGAGGGCGGAGCTAAGCCCGAGACCCGCCCGCTCCCGGGCGCGAAGCCCCCTCCCCGCGTCCCTCCCGCCGCGCTGCAGACGCGCGCAGGTACGTGAGGCCTCGCCCGCCCGGGACCAGGAGACGCGGGCTCGCCATGGAGCACATCCGCACGCCTAAGGTTGGTGCTACGGGCGCGGGCGTAGGAGGGAGAGCGGGAGCAAGAGGAAGGATGCTGAGCCGGCTGGAGGCCCGGCTTCCCTGTCCGGCGCAGACCGAACTGGCACCGCGAGCCAGCGAGGGAGGAGGAGGCGCCGGAGCCTCTCCCGCTTCGCCGGGAGGCTGGGCTTCCTCTTGCTGCCTCACAGGCCTAGCCTTGGCTGCTGCTGGATCTAACCTCTTGTCCTTGGGGATGCTCAGTGGACAGAGGGCAGGACGGGAGGGAAGCCTGACTGCCAGTAGAGTAATGGGGCTGCTGATAGGCTGATAAACGCTCCCTTCTGGTCTAGCACTAGGTTGCTGCTTTAAAAAAATTTTTTTTTCTGTTGGCTGCTCTGAGCAGTTGAAAGAGGAACAAGCCTTCCTAATAACAGGTGCAAGGAAACGAGTTACGTGCAGGTGCGTTGAATGCAGTCGGGAAGCTTGTTGAATCTAAGGGTTCAGACCCGCCCAACTCGCCCTTCTGCTTCTTGGTCCTCAGGCTGTCAGCTGCAGTGGACCTCGCACCGAGCAGATGGGCAGCGTTCGCGTAGGCTGAATATTATCAATCCTTCCGTCTTCTTGCCTTTTCCAGTGGGTTGCAGCTTACAGATTCGTCCGCTGGTCTGTTTTAAACAACACCAGATCTTGCCAACTCAACAAAAGCGACTGGTCCCAGATCATTTCAGTTAAATAACACTGGAAACGTTGACCCCTGTACCAAACCTTACTGTTCATGGTTGTACTAGTAATAAAATTTAGAGCGAAAAAGGTGATCGACATTCCTGATAAAAACCCTAAATTAGTGACAAAACCTATTTCAGGAACCTATTGGCTGTCTCTTGTTACTACCACTATAGCGCCTTGCGTTTCCGGGATGATCTCCTGTTCAAAATCTAGGTCCTGACAGTGAAGTCAAAGCTGGGCCTGAGTGGGCGGAACTTAGGAGGCCCCAGGGATCGTATTCATCTCATGGGGCCATTGCTGTGCAGTAAGTCCAGTCAGAAAAATTCATTCCTAAATTCCGGAATGGTTTCTCTTTATAAAGGCAACTTTACGATTGTCGTATGTCAGTGGAAGAATAAAATCTTTCAGTTTGCCACATAATGTGAGTTCCAACAGTAAAGTTAAGTTGTATTGATTTTGCACTATGGAATTAAATTGTTGCTTCACAATCAGGAAATTGTAAACTTAGAGGAGAGTGCCATAAACCGCAAGATAGGTGGCTCAGAGCTTTCAGGGTTTAAGTGGTGCTAAATAATTTATTCTGGAATGAGGAATTTAACTCATGAACTCCCTCTGCCCTTGCCAGGGGCATCCTTTCTTTGTCATGATGAAGGGGGCTCTTGATAAAAATGATGTCTGATGTGAATGTCAGTAGTGATAGGGTGACATGACACTGAGTGCTTTTCTTCCTATGGAATATGAATTTCGGGAGTAAAGGCCTTTTCTCATCCTTATTCAAACTCATTCTCTACAAAGCCATGTGTGCAAACCTGAACATCAAGCAATATTCTCACTTGTTCTTAAAACCTGTTTTCATAAACACCCTGTACCATAAATCTTCTGTCAGGAAACAGAAGGAAATGGGGGGAAATGGATAATTGTCTGAAATTTCATTGAGTTGAGAGTCATGAACATTTAGGATAATGCAGGTGGAAAAAAATTAAAAGCTACAGAGATTGGGGGGAATCCAATCCATTTATTCATTCATTTCATTCCACAAGCATTGGAGAACCTTTCCTGTGAGAAGCCCCTATGTGAGCTTTGTGAAGCTCCAGACCAGGGAGCTCCTGGTCTGGAACGGAGGCAGTTGTAAATCTGGAGAGAGATGTGTACAAGGGACAGTGGGCAGAGAGGGCAATGGATGGAGGATCAGCTCTACCATAAAGGGTGAGGGAAGGCTTCTTAGAAGAGCTGAGTCTTTTTTTTTTTTTTTTTGTGGCACGCGGGCCTCTCATTGTTGCGGCCTCTCCCGTTGCGGAGCACAGGCTCCGGACGCGCAGGCTCAGCGACCATGGCTCACGGGCCAGCCGCTCCGCGGCAGGTGGGATCTTCCCGGACCGGGGCACAAACCCATGTTCCCTGCATCGGCAGGCGGACTCCCAACCTCTGCGCCACCAGGGAAGCCCGAAGAGCTGAGTCTTAACATGCAGGAGCATTGGAGATGCTGTCAGGCAGTTGTGTAAATATGGTGTATTGTAATAAATCATTACTCCCTCAAAGATGCTGAAAGCCTTAACAGCGATAAAGATAGAAATGATGACATGATTCCTTGAGGTTAAACAATATGATTTTATTTTACATTTTTAAAACAATTAACAATTTTTTATTTTTCACTTCCAGTTTTATTGAGATAGAATCGACATACAGCACTGGATAAGTTTAAGGTGTACAGCATAATGATTTGACTTACATACATCATAAAATGATTGCCACAATAAATTAATGACCATCCATCATCATTTAGATAGAAAATTAAAGAAATAGAAAAAAATTTTTTCTTGTGATGGGAACTCTTAGAATTTATTATCTTAACTTTCATGTATAACATACAGCAGTGTAAATTATATGTATCATGTTATCCATTCCATCCCTAGTACTGATTTATCTTATAACTGGAAGTTTGTACCTTTTGACCACCTTCCTTCAGCCTGCCCCCCTGGTAACCACAAATTGGGTCTCTCTTTCTATGAGTTTGTTTGTTTGTTTTGAGGTGTAATTGCCCTACATCACTGTGTTAGTTCTTGTTACACAACATAGTGATTCGATATTTTAAACAATTTCATTTTACATTTTTAAGTGCAATACTAATTTTCACAGTATAAATGAAAAGGGACCGTACTACTTACAGAGCTTGTGTTGTAAAATGTATAATTTTTGATGGTCATAGTCGTCTTTGTTTTGGGCTTCCATTATGTTCTGGGGGTGCTGAATAGATAGCTTGTCTTATATTGTATGATTTCATGTCTTAGGTGGCTTGTGAGGGGTATACACTCAAGTTTGAAGTGTATTTACCATGTGGCTGGCAGGGGTTTATTTTAAGAGGAAGGGAAATGCATGTATAATGTACAGTTGTTTTCCTATTACAGTGAAGTCATTCATTTACTCTTTGTAAGCTGTGCGATATCCATCACAGCCTCTGTGCTCTGCTTCAGTCTCTGGAGTGCAGTGTAAGGAGACAGATACCCATGTATAATCTGGATGCTTTGCACATCTTTCTTGCTGGTGTGTGTGTGGTGTGTGTGTGTGTGTGTGTGTGTGTGTGTTTGTTTAACAGAAGCCTTTAACAGAGCGTATACTAAGCAGGGTGTTTCTCTCCCGGAATGGTTCCTGTATAAGAAAAAGAAAATGTTCCAAGGAGGAGCTAGTTTGCAGTTGGGTTTAAGTTAGGACACCAAGCATTACCTGTATTGCATCACAGAGAACTTTTTGTTTCTACTTCTCTGTCTGGTTTTCTCTGCCACTCTGAAGACTTGCTGGTAAGAAAAAACCCTGCAAGAAGCTTAGGGATAATTTGGGTTCACGTGTTACTTAGTTATATATAAAGCCTTCAGGGCTTTTAGAAGTAACTTGAAGTGTTTTGTAGGGTTTGGGTTATTATCGGATAGATGCTAATGTGTCTAGGAACTTGGTGAAGTAATCTCTACTTTTTATGTTTTGGTCTTTCTGGAAGACTTTTTTTTCCCACACATGTAAATTTGAGTTGTAAAATAGAAGATGTGATGACCTCCAAAACTCCAAATAGACCTTGAAAATGTCTTTTGTTCCTTTCCACCCCCATCCCTGGCCTGAGCCGTTACTCTCACAGCTGTTACTCTCACAGCCTCCTCTTTGCTTTTCTCCAATCCCTCCTCCACAGAGGGAGCCTGGGTGATGCTTTTATGACACAAATTGGTCATGTTACTTCCCTGCTGAAATTCTTGGGTGGCTTCCCTTTGTACCCAGGATATAGAGTGAGAATCCCCAGAGTGGCCTGCCTGGACAGACCCATGTTTACTTCTCAGCCTCATTCTGTGACAGTCGTCTTCTCACTCACCACCCTCTGATCACAGCTAGCCTTCGTGGGTTTCTCACATGTGACAGGTTCTTTTCTGCCTCAGGTCTTCTGCACCTGTTGTTCCATCCGGAGGAGACTCTTATCCCCGCTCTTCACCTGCCTAAATCTCTCATCTTCATAGTTTCAGATTAAATATAATTTCCTCAGGAAGGTATTGCCCAATTCTCCATCTAAATCAGGGCTGCCTGTTATTGATATATTCTGTCATGGAACCCATATTTCACCTTATGCCCCTTGTTACATACATGTTTTATATATATGCAAGTGATTATTTGTTTCATGTCAAGCTCCCCTTTTAGACCAGGAGCCCTGTGAAGGTGAGGGTCACATCTTGTTCACCCCTGTATCCACAGCACCTAACATAGTTTCTGGCACCAAGTAAGCACACAGTAAATTAATAATTGGATAATAGAAGGAATGAGTGATTCTTAATTTCAGCCCTTCAGTTTTTAATATTTTCTTTAGTAACCCAGGCCTTTTGTGCATTGTACCCATGCTAGGTACCATATTGTCAGTCTTCTAATAGTATTAAGTACTTGTGGATGTCGATATATTTTATAAAATATATAGCATATATATAATGATATGTCTTTTGTCATTATATATTGTTTTAATGAGACAGAATTAAAATAACATAAAATTCACCATTTAGCCATTTTAAAGTGTACATTTCAGTGTTTGTGGCCTCTCCTGTTGCGGAGCACAGGCTCAGTGGCCATGGCTCATGGGCCCAGCCGCTCCGCGGCATGTGGGATCTTCCCAGACCGGGGCACGAACCCGTGTCCTCTGCATTGGCAGGCGGATTCTCAACCACTGTGCCACCAGGGAAGCCCCATTTCAGTGTTTTTTTGGTATATTTGTATGTTGTGTACCTCTCACCACTATCTAACTGGGAACATTTTCATCACTCCCAAAGAAACCTA